CCATCTCCAGACTGAGTAGCCCCTTGGGAATATGACCTCATTTAAAATATCATCTTTTTTGTTTTGTCTCCACGAGTGTAACAATGTCTGGTGTCTGCAGCCGTATTACATCACTTACCTCCAGTATCTTCAATCTCACTCCATCTACATTGGTGTACTGTAGACTATTTTCAGGAACATGTTCCCCCTCTCCTTATTCTTCACTACCCATTTCCCTAGTGATTTTGTTGGTTTGCCTTTTTGTACCATTTTACTTGTCTGCCTACCCCTATCACTTTGTAGAAAAAAGAATTGATTTCTTCTTCATTCCTGCTCTCATTTAGTCGTTTTGCCTCAACGAGGTTAAGTTTTAGCTTGTCTGTCTGTCTGTCTTTCTTTGAAAGATCTTGTCTTAACGATCATACTTTCCCTTCCTCATCACTTTGTAATTTTCTAGAATTCCTTAGTACTTCTTCCATCTGTTTGGCACAGTTTAGGGTGATCCTCAAAGGTCGATCTTTTCCTTTTACATACTTTCCAATCCTCCTGTAGTCGCAGACATTCTCTATGGTAGTAATACCTTCCACGAAGCCAACAATTTTATCTACTACTATCTCCTCTTCCACAGCTCTTTCTGACCTAGATGTTATCTCCTTTTCTTTGCAACCAAAAATTATGAGGGACTTATTTCAATCAATTGTGTTTTGCACCAACTTCGGGTTAGATGCCAATTCCTTTCTCATTTCCAGCCTAATGTTTGTTTTATCTTGGTTGCTACAGTGTTTGGCTTCCTTTACTGCTGCTTCTATTCTTTCCTTCTCCTTGGCTACTTGTGCATAGGCGAGTTGCATATCTTTCTTGCACTGTTCTATTCCCTGTGTAACTTCCTCCATCTGTGCTGACAAAGGCTGTTTTCCTGTTGAATTTACTTACCTAACCTATTGTAGTCATTTGTTTAAATTTGCTTGAACTTCTTCCAAAGCTATTTTTAAAAGTTTATTTTCCTCTTCCATGGCTTTGTAATTTGTTTCCAATTGATTCTTGTCCTTGTATAAGTCTTTCACTAACCCCTCAAGACCTAAAACTTTGCTACTCATGTGCTCATTACTTTTTTTTCAATTTGCTGATTATTTCTACATAATAGTTCACTATAATATCTAAGTTCACTATCGTGTGGTGCTATTTCTGTGTGTATGTTTGGGACCAGTTCCTCTAATATTTTCCACATGTAAACTATTATGTATCTCTCCTGCCTGCGCTCAATAGAATATAGATTTAGGCATTTTAGTCGGTTCCAATAGTTTAGACGTTTTACTGAGTGGATTCTAGCAGTATAGGATCTCTACATGCTCTTCAGGTCAGTAATTTCTCCAGCTTTGAAAGGAGTTGTCAATGTGCAATAGTATTCCACTAGAGAGCACTTGAAAAGTATCATCATTGGTATAGGATCTCTAATCTGAAAGGTTCTTATTATCCAACCTGTCATTTTCCTTACAGATGTGACGGCTACTTTATTGTGTTCTTTAATGGTAAGGTCTTTTGACACGAGTACACCCAAATCCTTTACATTGGTTTTTCATTCTATGGTATGATATGACTGCTTTTGTACGTGGTTTCCATTTTTATATTTTCCTTTTTCTGTTGCACAGGAACTGGAAATTAAATTCATTACATTACCATATCATTTTCTGTAGCCCATTGAAAAACCTGATTTACATATGATTGGAGGTTTGCTTTGTCCTCTATGTTGTCTACTCTCATAAAAAATCCTAGTGTCATCTGCAAAGGATGATGCGGCACTATAATGTGTGTCCTTGTCTACGTCAGATCTGAGAACGAGAAAAAGTACTGCAGCAAGCACAGTACCCTGGGGGGACTGAGCTCTTCACATCCCTGGGGGATGTAGACAATTTTTTTTTTTAATGGCAACTGTTTAATGGAGTAATGAGGAACATGATCCATGTTCCCGTTTTACCATGTACCTGTGGGAATTTTGAATCTTACGTTTTCAAATAAACATATGTAGGGTGGCGCACCCTGCTGATATCATGGGTAGTGCAGTACAGTGGATACGTTTCTCAATAAAGGATAGAGAAAATGACATGGAAGCTTATGATAAAGAAAATTAAGTACTGCACAGTATTTGAGGGCTAACTTAAAGATTGTCAATGAAAACTGTATGTATGCTGTACTGAATAGGAACTGTTTTGTTTACTGAATATACTCTACTAATAGCAAAAAAATTCAGTACTATACATAAAAGTTATATAATATTGTACTGTATAATAAGATACAACCATACTGTACTGTATAATATGATACAACCATACTGTATGGCTATGCTAACAAAGTACAGTAAACTGTATAAAGTAAATTTAGTTGCCGCAGAAACATATGCATCTTACCAGGTGATTAAAGACAAGCAAACTACATGTGTGAGTTTCAAGCTCAGTGTTATTAGCAAAAATATTTCCTTGGACAAGAAGGCATGATAGGTAAACGGCCTATAAATATAACAGATAGTAATCCTAATGAAAGGCTAGATGATATAGTTAGAAATCAAGGTAAAGTACAGTGGAACCTCTATTAACACTTTGGTGCACCCCGCTCGCCACCCCTCAACTGTGCGATATGGGACCCAGGGTGTCACGGGAGTGCGCGTAAATTCTGAAAAGTGTATACTCTCTTCAACTTTGTCACCTTAATTCTCGTCCTACGAGATTAAATTTGGTATCATTGTGTTCGCAATAGAATTCTCTACAGCACTAAATGCATATAAACTCCAAAAGCCCGGCTAATTACCCGCAGCAAACAGAGAAAGTGCGAACGAGTTACCCAGGAGCGCGCAAACGCGATAAAATGTTTTCACTATTTTCACTCTGGTCACCTCAATTTTTATCCTAAGTCATTCATTTTGGTCTCAATGGGTTCGCAATAGAATTCTCTAGAGGAACATTAGCATATAAAATAAACCTGGTCACGCTCCAACCGCCGACGAGTTGAAGACGGCCCTTCAGAAAAGAAGAAAGAAAAGCCCTTTTCAAGCCTTTCTTTCGCAATTTTCTTCCTGGAAGGGCCTTGTTCATGATCACTATCCATCGTGGAGTAAGCGTAGATAGTTTCTAAAGCCGCAGTAAGAAATATAGCCACGGAAAATAGCCGAAATGTTCACACGTTTGAGATGCGAGGGGAGGCGACATTGGTCACAACAGTGGAGCGAAAACAATGGGCCCACGGCATGTGCCAAGCTGCCTGAGGGCCACGAGCCTCAACAAAGAAATGGGAAGACATCGGCACGCATTTTAAAACCAGCCCCCAAAAAATCTGATAAAAACCTGATTTTTGGCGATTATTTAAAGTGGATGACGCAATGCTGCGTCATCCCCGGAATTACCGCCAGTAAACGGATGACGCAATGCTGCGTCATGCCCGGGCGAAAGTGTTAACGAGTTTAATCCGTTCTTGCACCGAGCTCGTTACCTGGAAAACTCGTCTTAAGAAACAAATTTCCCCATTTAAAATAAAGGAAATAAATTTAATCCGTTCCACTCCCAAAAACATCCATACTTGTATGACTTTTTTTTATGTAAATATAATACTGCACATGTAAATATAAATGTTTTGTTGTAGTGTTTTAATATTTACTTTACCTTATGAAGAGTAGTTGCTGGCTTGAGGGAGACGATGGGGAGGTGGGAAGGAGGAGAGGGGTTATGATGTGGAAGGAGAATCCACCTCTGAGTCAGGCGGACTCTCTCTTCTTGGGAATTTCACCCAAATTTCATTTCAAATGTCACACAAGGATGCGTTAGACCAGCACCAAATAAAAAACTACGTCGATTACTCTCGTTGTGTCAACAATATAATAGTCTTACCATGAAGATACAATACAATGCCGTTTTCTCAAATAGGCAATGTGGTTATTAAAGAAAACGGAAATTTCATGGCAAACATGTATACAATCCCCAAGTCGATCGGATAAGAATTGGATTTTATAGAAATATTTGCTCAAATGACGCTTGAGCGCGGTGTTTGGGTGCATTCAAGAGAAAAAGTGTGTCACGTTCAAGCGACATATACCTGCAAAAGTGATAACACTTTCATAAAGTGTTATCACAAAGTGATAAATTAATTAAACATTTTCACACACCGGGTTGTCACTGCTTTATCAGGGCAGCTTTTCCAAGAATGCGTTCACCTTTTCAAACATTCCAAACACTTCCCTGATCTCAGTGGAAGAGGCAGCATCCTCCCTTACCTCCTCATTCCCTTACTAATGGTGTAAATTGTTGATGAGGACCTGCCATACTTCCTTGTGAGATCAATCACACAGACACCACACTCATGCTTTGCTCTAATTTCCTTCTTTAAATCCATAGTAATTGTCTCTTTCTTCCTCTTGACAACACTATCTTTAGCAAGCAGCTTCTTTGGAGACATCGTGTGTTACAAATTGTAGTCGCAAAACCACTAAAAACCCAAAGAAAAGCTCAAATAAATCCAGAGGGATGCTTGTCGTGTGCGATACAACAACAACACTGGTGTCGGAGGCGTCCGAGAATTTGCGAGAACCCGCGAGATGCTAGGAAGCACCATGTGGTTTTGCTCGTTAATAGAGGCGAGCTCGTCAATAGAGACAAATTTGCTGTGAGTGGCTTGCTCGTTACTGGAAAAACTCGTTAATAGAGCCACTCGTTAATCGAGGTTCCACTGTACTAGCGAGTTATGACAAGGGTGAGTGGAAAATGACCAATCATCTTTCCTAGTGCAGTACCATAAGAACAAAATGACATTTTTGGTTTTACTTAACGTCATTTTAGTTAAAGTCGTGGTTTTCTGGAAGCTAACCCATCTGTACATATATAAAATACATACAGTATATAAAAACATTTATACAGTAACACTATCATCCGAGAATACACATTTTTATGTAATGTTAATACAATACTGTACTATACAAAAATTATCTATCCAAGTCTTAATTTCCACACAAATTAAAGTCCAAGAAATAATTGTCTAACCTTCGACTGGAATTGCTGGGTAGCCCTCAACAGTCAAATTAACATGCTGAGTACCATCAGAAGTAGCAATTGAGGCAATGCTCGCTTCACAGAGATTCTCTAATCCGCCACTTCCCATCCGCACTACGCTGACTTGAGAGCCATCTGCTCCATGGCTTGCTGTAACGTGTAAGAAAGGAAAGGAAAAATCAACCGACAGAAAGCAGTAAACAAAAATTGCACAACTTCTTACCAAGTGTTTACACCCAGAATAAATATAAATATATATTTCCTTCTTACAAGAAAATTAATAAAAAAAAGTGTAAATATAATGAAACGCCATTTTCTGGGTGAATCCCGGAGGCTCCCCGGAGCTATCCAGGCTGAATGGATATGTTTATCTTTCTGGTATCAGTCAATGCATGGAGTTCTTGCCTACCGGGGACCATGAGCCAGAACCTGGCCCCATCTAGAGAGGCATGAGGAGCAATTTACCTATAGAGACCCCCCTGTGGTTGGGAGCATTAAATGTCTGCCATCGACTGGGACAGGCACCCAGAAAGGTAGGCACCCCAAAAACCCCTATTCTGGTAAAAGTATTGCCACAAAGCCGAACAGGTGGACAGAACTCCCCAAACGAAAATTAGCAATCTAGCATGATGTCATCATGTCACCGCGTCGCTGTCTGTGCAGCGGCGCAGAGGAGCACCAGACCCATCTGCCGGCGACCCAACCTACAGTTCTTAGGTTGGATGTCAAAAAATGCGAAAAACACCGCCAACCAGAGGGAGGGAGGGAGGGATGCTGAGGACCCTCCGGGACTCACCCAGAAAATGGTGTTTCATTACATTCAACGCTGGTTTTCTGGGGGAAGCCCCGTCAGCTCCCCGGAGCTAACTACCCAAAAGATATGGAAAACAGGGACTTACCCGGGAGGCGGTTTGTCCTCACTCTTCAACACAAAGTTGAGACAACTGGCTGCAACCGCCGACCCAAGGCAACGCAACTACCTGGCCCCGGAATATTCACCAGGTAGCGAGCAGCCAGGACCCTGTTCAACCTCCAAAAACCCCGCACCCGAATGTTAACCCAAGACATATTGCCAAAGACGGCAACCAAAGCAGCAAACCTATGAACGTCGTGGGCACGGGGATAAACCGCAGGCTGGCTCGATTTAATAACTCTGCGGACAACCTGAGAGACCCGAGCCCGGGAACAGGGAAGAAGGGAAACTGGGTCAACCCAAAGCGCATCCCCGGCCACCGAAGCCGTGGTGCACAAATAACGACGGAGAGCCTCAACCGGACACAACACATGATGCACCCCCGGCCTGACCAACCAACCATCAACAACCCAAGGCTTCCTCCGAAATGCAGCACTTTCAGTCTTCGCCAGAAAAGGAGGAGACGGCTGTAATCGAACAAAACGAACACAAGGACCGAAGGAGCAGAAACCCCTGTGCCAGAGGAGAGCATGAAGCTCCCCGACCCGAACCCCACCTTGAGGTGCTTCAGGAGCTTAGCGTCCCCACAGCCCGGTCGTCAACCAGGCCTCCTGGTTGCTGGACTGGTCAACCAGACTATTGGACGCGGCTGCTCTCAGCCTGATGTACGAATCACAGCCTGGTTGATCAGGTATCCTTTCGAGGTGTTTATCCAGTTCTCTCTTGAACACTGTGAGGGGTCGGCCAGTTATGCCCCTTATGTGTAGTGGAAGCATGTTGGACAGTCTCGGCCTCTGATGTTGATAGTTCTCTCTCGCAGAGAACCTGTTGCACCTCTGCTTTTCAACAGGGGGTATTCTGCACATTCTGCAATGCTTTCTGGTCTCATGTGATGTTATTTCGTGTGCAGATTTGGGACCAGCCCCTCTATTACTTTCCACGTATAAATTATTATGTACCTCTTCCGCCTGAGCTCAAGTGAATAAAGATTTAGGCTCTTTAGTCGGTCCCAGTAGTTTAGATGTTTTACCGAGTAGATTCGAGCAGTAAAGGATCTCTGCACGCTCTCCAGGTCAGCAATTTCTCCAGCTTTGAAAGGGGCTGTCATTGTGCAGCAGTACTCCACTCTAGAGAGCATTAGCATCTTGAAGATTATCATCATTGGTATAGCATCTCTAGTTTGACAAGTTCTTGTTATCCAACCTGTCATTTTTCTTGCAATTGTGACGGCTACTTTATTGTGTTCTTTAAATGTAAGGTCTTCCGACATGAGTACACCCAAATCCTTTACATTGCCTTTTCGTTCTATGTTATGATTTGACCGAGTTTTGTACGTAGTTTCTGCTTTTATATTTTCATTTTTTCCGTAGCGCATGAGCTGGAACTTACTTTTGTTAAACACCATATTATTTTCTGAAACCCATAAAAAGACCTGATTTACATCTGATTGGAAGTTTGCCATGTCCTGTATGTTGTCTACTCTCATGAAAATCCTAGTGTCATCTGCAAAGGATGATACAGTGCTATAAATTGTGTCCTTGTCTATGTCCGATATGAGGATGAGTTTTGTTGACTATTACACATTGAGTTCTGTTAGTCAGGAAATTGTAGATCCATCTGCCTATTTTTCCGGTAATTCCTTTTGAACGCATTTTATGTGCAATAACACCATGGTCACATTTGTCGAAGGCTTTTGCAAAATCTGTGTAAATTACATCAGCATTTTGTTTGTCTTCCATGGCATCTAATACCATTTCATAGTAGTCCAGCAACTGTGACAGGCAAGAATGCCCTGTTCTTAAACCATGCTGTTCGGGGTTATGGAGATATTGTGATTCCATGTATTTTGTGATCTTACTTCTTAGCACTCACTCAAAGATTTTTATGATGGGCGATGTTAGTGCTATCAGTCTGTAATTTTTTGCCTCTGCCTTATTTCCTCCTTTATGGAGTGGTGCTATCTCTGCTGTTTTTATCATGTCAGGGATAATGCCAATATCTAGGCTTTGTCTCCAAAGAATGTGAAGGGCCTGCGATAGTGGTTTTTTACAGTTCTTGATGAATATGGAGTTCCAAGAATCAGGGCCTGATGCAGAGTGCATAGGCATACTGTTTATTGCTGCTTCAACATCCAGTGAGGATAGTGTGACGTCTGATATATGATTTGATGTTGGTATCATATCCATGAAAAATTCATTTGGGTTATCAATCTTTAGCGTATTTAGTGGCTCTCTGAAAACAGTTGTACTGCTTCCTCAGTAACTCGCTCATTTCTTTGTTGTCATCGGTTAAAGTTCCATCTCCCTTCCGCAGGGGCCCAATACTAGATGTGGTTTTTTATCTTTATTTTGCATAGGTGAAAAAATATTTTGGATTTCTCTCTATTTCACTGATGGCCTTTTGCTCTCTTTGCCTCTCCTGGGTTTTGTATGATTCTTGTAGCTTGAGTTCAATTGTTTCTATTTCTCTACCTAACCTCCTTCGCCGTTCTTGAGAGAGGGTGCGACTCAAGTTGCTCCACGATTCGTTTTCTTCGCCTATAGAGGGAACGAAGTTCCCGTTCCAATCTGCATCTCTTCCTCTTTTTTTCTTAGAGGTATGCGGTTTGCACATATTTCTAGTGCTACTGATCTTATTTTTTCCAGGCACTGGTTCAGGTTTAGATTTTCTAGCCGTTCTTCCCAGTTTATTTCTGTGAAGTCTTGGTTTATTTGCTCCCAGTTTATCTGTTTATTATTGAAGTTGAATTTGCTGAAATCTCCTCCACTGGGAACTGGGACTGGTTTTGAAGGTCTATTCAACATGATTGTCAGAACTTCAATTATGTTGTGATCTGAGTAACAGGTATTTGTAATCATAATGTTCCTGATAAAATCATCATTATTGGTGAAAATGAGGTCCAGCGTGTTCTCCTTCCTAGTTGGCTCTACTATTTGCTGGTTTAAGGCAAACCTGTCGCACATCTGTAGCAGGTCATTTGCATGTGCCTCTTCATTTAGGCTACTTCCTGGTATTCTTTCTGATATTACTGTATTAACCAAATACTTCCATTTCAGGTGCCATAGGTTGAAGTCCCCAAGCAGGATGATGTTCTGGGCTGGATTTGTGAGGTTTTCTAAGCAGTGTTCTATTTTCTTTAGTTGGTCTTTAAACTGCTGAGAGTTTGCTTCTGGTGACTTATATACAAGGACAATAACTACATTTAGGATATCTATTTTGATTATCAGCACTTCCACCATATCATTTGTGGTGTTCAGCAGCTCAGTACAGACAAGTGTGTCTTTGATGTAGAGGCTGACCCCACCCTGTAGCCGGTGTTTCCTGTCACATCTGAAAAGATTGTACTCTGAGATCCATATTTCACCATCATCAGTCCTTTGTGAGAGTTTCCATTAGGGCTGCAAACACTGCACTTGTCTCATGAAGGAGACCATCTATAAAATGAACTTTGTTGGATTTGCATGTTTTTATACCCTGGATGTTGACAAATATAAATGATGTTATCGTGTTTATGGAAGTGCTGGATGCTTTAGTTTGTGTTAATATCTGAGGCTCTGGTAATTACCTAAGTGTAATTACCTAAGTGTAGTTACAGGATGAGAGCTACGCTCGTGGTGTCCCGTCTTCCCAGCACTCTTTGTCATATAACGCTTTGAAACTACTGACGGTCTTGGCCTCCACCACCTTCTCACTTAACTTGTTCCAACCGTCTACCACTCTATTTGCGAAGGTGAATTTTCTTATATTTCTTCGGCATCTGTGTTTAGCTAGTTTAAATCTATGACCTCTTGTTCTTGAAGTTCCAGGTCTCAGGAAGTCTTCCCTGTCGATTTTGTCAATTCCTGTTACTATTTTGTATGTAGTGATCATATCACCTCTTTTTCTTCTGTCTTCTAGTTTTGGCATATTTAATGCTTCTAACCTCTCCTCGTAGCTCTTGCCCTTCAGTTCTGGGAGCCACTTAGTAGCATGTCTTTGCACCTTTTCCAGTTTGTTGATGTGCTTCTTAAGATATGGGCACCACACAACAGCTGCATATTCTAGCTTTGGCCTAACAAAAGTCATGAACAATTTCTTTAGTATATCGCCATCCATGTATTTAAATGCAATTCTGAAGTTAGAAAGCATAGCATAGGCTCCTTGCACAATATTCTTTATGTGGTCCTCAGGTGATAGTTTTCTATCTAGAACCACTCCTAGATCTCTTTCTTTATCAGAATTCTTTAAAGATTTCTCA